AGTGCTTTGCTTATCCGAGGTCTCTTTCCTTTCCATATAAAGTTAGTGATCATTTTTTCCATATCCCTAAAGAATGTTGATGGGATCTGGATTGGGATGAGAGTGGATGTTTTTGAACAATAATCTAATCTATCACACAGAATTCCAAACTCTGCTGTGGCAAAACAACACTTTTGTCTCTATACAAGCTAAAAATAGAGCAGCAACTCCTCAAGTTTAACTGCTTGTTGTGAGCTGGTATCACAGAGGGAAAGGGCAAAAAAATCAGGGACAAGTAAGACTCAAAGAACAGTCAGAGGCCCTTGGTTCATACTGTTTTCTTCCTTGCTGTTCAATACCCTGAGCTCGTTGGCTATAGGAATGATGCCTCTGGGAACTATCCAGTCATTGAAACTACCACCCTTTGTATATGCCTGTGCACAAACTTGTAGCATAGCAACATAGGCCTGGAGATGCTTTTACAGAGTCTACCAGATTCTAATTTCCCTTAGAATTGGAGAACATACTTCATTATTTTTATTGGGACACAATTTGGTCATAAAATAAATAATAGAAGAACATGACAGTGTAAGTAAACCTTTAAGAAAGAGGGTGTACAAGAGCTTCTGTGAAAAAGAGCTAACTAGAATACTCAAATATGAGAGTTTGCATAAGAAGGAGACAAAGAGAAGTAGAAACGTGACTGAAATCCAGTACATTTGTAGGATAGACTAGCAGAAAGAATGATGCATTTTCTTTATTTTTCTTCAAATACACAGTCTTGAACTATTTTAAGTTGGGTTGTAATATCGAGCTCATAACTCAAGTAATCTTTCCCTAGCATTATGCTATGAAACAAACAACCCTCAAATCTCAGTGGTTGAGTACAACAACAACAAATCTTTATTTGTGTTCTATAAACACTGTGGATCATATATGCTGTGCTCCAGGCTGTAATATAGATTCACAACTACTCCATGTATTTTCTCCAGCCTGGTCCAGACTGAATGAGAAATCTTAATGTGGGACATTCTAATTCTTGTAGCAGAAGGGTCGACCAAGAGAAAGTGAGTCAGCCATGCAGACACATTTGAATTTTCTGTTTGTAATGGCACAATCCAAGGCTACTAAATTTTCAATAGCTAATTCAATTGATGGGAGCTCTGGTAGCGTAGTGCCTAAAGCACTTGACTGCTAACCAGAAGGTTGGTGGTTCAAACCCACCAGCCACTCCTCGAAAAGAAGATGGGGCAATCTACTTCCATAGTGATACTGCCTTGGAAACCCAAGGAGGGGTCGCTATGAGTCAGGGCCGACTCAACAGCACATAACAACAACAACAACAACAATTCAATTGATAAGACAGATTTAACATCAGCAGAGATAGGAAATACTCCTCCAGTGATGATGGTACAAGAGAGAGATATCTGTACCAATAATGTAGTATATCACAACTACATATTGTAATGGTCTATATTCTTATTTATCTCCATAAGTCTCAATTTCAAGAGAGAAGAATGTTTCTCAGTCTATAATTCAAAGATGGTAGTTACCTCTTCATTCATAAATTTATTCATTCTATATATTACTAGGGATCTCTGGTGGCATAATCCTAAGGCATTTGACTGCTAACCAGAAGGCTGGTGGTTCAAACCCACCAGCTACTCCTCGAAAGGAAGATGGGGCAATCTACTTCCGTAGTGATACTGCCTTGGAAACCCAAGGAGGGGTCGCTATGAGTCAGAGCCGACTTGACAGCAGTGAGTTTTTTATACATTAATATAAAGAGATGCCAGAGGGTTCCTTTGCTAAGTGTTTCATGAATAAACTGACCATAAGCATGGGTTAAATCAGGAAAGGAAATCAAAGAATAACTAACTTAATTGAAGGAATAAGTCTCATGCCAGTGAAACTGTCCAACTGTAGAGAAAATAGCCGTGTGAGATAGAAGGTTAATAAACAGTGACTATTCAGGCAGACACTGGAGTCCAGTTTTCAGAAAAGATGTAGAGGAAATTTCAGGGTGGGACCTTATTTTACAAAATTTGGGGCTGAATTCCTCACTCAGAGCTTGGATGAAGAGCTCACCAAAATCTTTCCTAATTGGGCCAGTCTTAGCCAATATTTCCACTGTCTATTCATCTAGTTCACAATGCCTGCCAAGAATATATCGCTTTGTAAGGTTCTTAATGTTCTCCTTAGTCATGTGGGAAGCCTATGATAGTCAGGAGGTCTAACATCTGCTATCAGACCACAGGATAGGAACAAATCAGGTCTGACCTAAGTAGTGGCCCTGTGAGAAATGAGACCTCTATCCTTATCATACTGGAGAATTGCCAACATGAAGAGTATGCAATTTTCCCAGTATCCATGTAGTACTGGATATGTATTTGAGAAAAGAGCTATCTATCTACACACCCTTTCTCTGGAATAGACTGAGCACATGGTCACGAATCTGCTTGGTCTTAACACCATAGATGATAGGATTTAACATGGGTGGGAAAAGCAGATAGAAGATAGCAAGGAGAATGTGGACATGGGGGGCAGCCCTCCGGACTACACGATGCATGACTGAGGAAATGACCACAGGTGTATAGAAGGCTAGAATAGCACCTATGTGAGAGACACATGTCCCAAATGCCTTGTGGCGAGCTTCCTGAGAGGCAAGCTGCAGAACAGCCTGAAGGATAAAGATATAGGATAGGGTAACAAACAGAAGATCCAACACCACAATGAACATGGCCACAGCAATGCCATAGATATTGTTGAAGCGAGTGTCTCCACAGGCCAGCCTTACCACAGCCATGTGCTCACAGTAACAGTGGGCAATCACTTGCCCTCTACAATAGTAGAACCGCTTCAGTAGAAAGGGTACTGGCATCACTAGTGCCAAAGCCCGGCCCACAATAGCCATGCCAATCCTGGTGATTAGCTGCCTGGTCAGTACCGTGGTGTAGTGCAATGGCTTGCAGATGGCCACATAGCGATCAAAGGCCATGGCCAATAGCACTGCTGACTCCATGATGGAGAAGGAGTGAAGAAAGAACATCTGGACCAGGCAGGCATGGAAGTTGATTTCCCTATCCCTGAACCAGAATATGGCAAGCATTTTGGGCAGTGTCGTGGAGGAGAGAACCAGGTCAATGGCTGCCAACATGGCCAGGAAGAAGTACATGGGTTCATGAAGGGCTGTATCAGAATGGATGACGAAGAGCAGGGTGCAGTTGCCCAAAAGGGCCACTGTATAGGCGAAGCAGAAGGGAATGGAGATCCAGATGTGCAGGTGCTCCAAACCTGGAATCCCTACCAACAAGAAGACAGCTGGATGGGTTGAGGTGATATTGGAGGCTGACATGGCTCCTGGAAATTCTCCTTGTTGGTTTTCCAAGTTTCATCACTTCTTCATATACCTTCTAGGCACACAGGATTACAGAGTTAAACTTAGATCACCCACCTAGAAGGATTAGCTCTTTTTCACATTCCTAAAGCCCGTGTGAAATAAACTGGGAGTCCTCATAGACATAGAGAAGTATAATGTATGTTTCCTCCCCTTAACGAACTTGGAGCCTCCTTTAATGGATAGAATGTTAAATATCAATAGGACTTATGTCACAAGACAGCATTCATAAAAGAATGGAGAAGAACTTGGATATTCTGTGTTCTTAGTGATGTTAGGATTACCTTATTTAAAAAAAAAAAAAAGTACAAATATGTTACTACATTTCTTTTAAACATACATTGGCACCATCCTACATGTTAATCAAAACAAACTCCCAATCAAAAAGATATATTTCTGCTCTGAAGTCTCTGACTTGGGTGCCTATATAAATCAAATAAACCCTACAGTTCTCAATTCCCTAATTGATCATACAATCTGTATATTTTCTCTAGAACTCTGTTGTCTGATACAGTTCCCACTAGCCACACGTAGCTACTTAAAGGTATTGTTGTTGTTGTTGTTGTTATGTGCCATCGAGTCAGCCCCGACTCATAGCGACCCCTCCTTGTGTTTCCAAGGCAGGAGAAAGGGGTAAAACCCAGTCACTAGTGCTCAGACGGCTCCCTTGTTACCCTCCCGAGAGGGACCGGGTCTCTGGGAGCAAGGTAAGTACAGGCGGGCTGGTGCTTACTCACTGATCTGCACTGAACACTTTCCCTTGTTACCCTCCCGAGGGGGACCGGGTCTCTGGGAGCAAGGTAAGCACGGGCATACACAGAGTAGCAGGCC